CACTGGTAAGCCAAGACTGAGAAATACAAGGTTGCTTTTCTGATCCCAATGTGCTTGAAACCTGACTCTACTTCCCTCGTTTGCCTTCCTACCCTACTCACATCATTCATTCATTGACTCACTCGTTCAGCAGATATTTATTGATCTCATATTATAAGCTTTACACCCGCCCATGTTGTCCTGACACGTGCAGTATCCATTGTCTAACTCATCTCTCCCCAAATCTCTGAAAACCTTGAGCTTGGGAATTGGACTGGGGTTACCTGTGTCCTTTCTTATGGACTCACAGGATTTCAGAGCCCTGATGCACCCGGGAGGGTAGCTGCGCCAGTCCTCTCACTTCCCAGGTGAGGAGACTCGTGGCCCACAGGGATTAAGTGCCTTGCCCAAGGTCAGGCTTATCTCCAGAGGATGTGCCTGGACTGGGGCCAGATGTTCAGGGACCCTGCCGACACCTCGTCTCCAGTCTGGGCTGCCTTAGTTAGTGAAGAGAACAGGGAAAGGCTGGGAAGGGGTAACCTCCTAGGTCAGCACTGGGAGAGGGTTTCACTTGCTCTGAAGATCCTGGGCCAGGATCCGCCCACCCCAGTGCCTCCAAGTCAGCATCAAGCTTCAGGGAAAGACCGGGCCTCTGAAGCTGCCTCTTGTAATTCATGCAGGAAGATGTCAAAGTCACCACCATCTTGGCTGATCAGGGAGTTCAGCCTTAACCCCACCTGTGTTCTGAAGTCTCTTACCCTACCTGCTCAGGACTTAGACACACTTATTCACTGAACATATTTATTAAGCACTTGCTGTCGGCCAACAGTTAAGAATCCAATCATGAAATGGACAGATTTGTGGAATTGGAGTCCAATAGGAAAGTGAGACCCAGACAGTGACAATGAGATAAATGTTAGGAAGGGGAATTTTGGGGTGATTTCCCTATAATCCTGGGGGCCTAGCTGGGCCCAAGACTGAGTGAGAGCCTTGGCAGAGCCTTTGCAACATCTTCAGTGGACAGGACTGGGAGATCTTGGCGGTGGGAGTCAACGTGGGTTCCCTGCGGCTACTGAGTCATCTCTGATAGCAGACTGCGGGAGGGAAGCCCGTAAGGCATGGGGAAATGGCCAGGTTGGGTTAACCCACTGGTTCCAGCCAGTTCAGGAACGAGGTTATTTGGCCATGACTGGCTGGTCTTGGGCTCAAGCATCTGCTTCAAATGCACACAGGGCTAGTTGAAGTTTAAACCCCAGTAAAACATTCCTCCCTGTAAATGGAAAATCCTGCTCCCACCTCCTCCCCCGCCGTTTTTTCGTTTTTTTTTTCTCCCTGGATCATTAGATTAGCAACTGGCTGTCCTCACCCCTCCTCACTGCCTCTCCTCTTTGGGACAGACAGGGACCTTTGAGGAAGATAAAGCCTTCCTTGACTACCCATCATATTCAGTGTCCCTGTTCTTCACTCGGAGAGGAAGGCAGAACCAATCAGGCTTATTTCAGTAAGTTCTGCAGTTCTACAAGACTGCAGGAAGCCTCCTTAGGGAGGAGAACAAGTGGGTGTGGCCCCAGCTTCCAGAAATGGCGGAAAAGAGGGTTTTCTCACTGAATGGGAGTGGGGGCTGGTGTGTTCTGGGAAACCCCATGAGTCACTTCATTTCTTGGAACTCAACCCCTAGCAGGAGAGGGTCTCAAGCGTGGTCCCTGGAAGGAGGGTGGGGGCAGTCTGCATTATTTCAGGTTGTGGCTGTTGGCTCTGGGACTCCTCTGGCCAAGGGCTCAGCTTCCTGGGACTTCAGCTATCTTCTTTCTGAAAGACCAAATTTAATGTAACCAGTAATGTGAGGACTGCCAAGTATGGCTTTGTCCCTACGACTCAGAGGAGAGTTTGTCGGGCAAATTCAGGTGGATGAAGTATGTGTGTGCGTGTGCATGGGAGTGTGTGTGAATTGGGATATCATCTCTACAGACTGGAAATAAACCGGACAAACTTACCAACGTCTTGACTGATGTATTTTGGGATGGTTCTGGGCTCAGCATATTGTGAGCTAGCTAATATAGTAAGAGCTGAAATGAGCATGTCCCGTGCATTTGGTCTGAGACAGCTGAAGTTTGTTTACTCCTCACCACCTCCCCCAAGAGACAGGTTCTATTACGTCGTCCTTGTTTCACAACTGAACAGCAGGCTTGGATAAGCAATGTGCTGAAAGAAACAGTAAATGCCACAATCTGCCTCCCCCAGTCCCCGCCCCAGAGCCAATCCATGGGGTCCAAGTTAAGAACCTCTGTCCTAGAGCACTTATAATTCACTACAGAAATTTATTCTACAAAGGGCTGTAATATCATCAGTCAGCCTTAGCCAGACAATCTCAGTACTAATGCTACCACCACCACCTTCTGACTGAGGGCCACTGGAGAATTTTCTCAACTTCTCTTACCTCATCAACTATTATTATTATGCATTTATGTACTTTTTTCTGAGACAGAGTCTCACTGTCGCCCAGGCTGGAGTGCAGTGGCGCAATCTCGGCTCACTACAACCTCCACCTCTCGGGTTCAAGCAATTCTGCCTCAGCCTCCTGTGTGGTCCACAGGTCTCTGCCACCACACCCAGCTAGTTTTTGTATTTTTAGCAGAGATGGGTTTCACCATGTTAGCCAGGTTGGTCTCAAGCTCCTGACCTCAGGTGGTCCACCTGCCTCCTAAAGTGCTTTGATTACAGGGGTGAGCCACCGCGCCCAGCCTATTTTTATTTATTTTTTGAGACAGGGTCTGGCTCTGTCACCCAGGCTGGAGTGCAGTGGCACAATCATGGCTCACTGCAGCCTCGACCTCCTGGGCTCAAGCAATCCTCCCACTTCAGCTTCCTAAGTAGCTGAGCCTACATGTCCAAGCCATCCCTCTGGCTAATTTTTTTTTTTTTTTTTAAGGGATGGGGTCTCGCCATGTTGCCCAGGCTGGTCTCAAATTCCTGGGCTCAAGCAATCCTGTCTGCCAAGTGCTGGGATTATGGGCATGAGCCAGCGGTGCCTGGCCTACCTCATCAATTCAATAAATAATAACCCCTAGGACGTCTTCAAGATTACGTGAGATCCCAGATCTGAAGGTTTTTGCAAAGGACTTGGCACAAACTCCTGCGACCGGAAGTGCGTATGGCTCTTGCTCTGGAGATGATTACCTTGATAGGAGCAAAGAAAGTTGCTCTTTGGTGCCCGTTAATCTCCCCTCCCAGCCTTCCACCTTCCACATTTTAAAAGTCGCCTGTGGCGACCCCTCGACCCAGTTTTTCTTAATCTCCCTCCCTCCCCTTGCATAGCCCAAAGCCTCTCTCAAAAGCAGCCCCTGAAAACATCTGTCAAGTTCCTAACTTCTCTGAATCGGAAGACTAATGGCCAATCTACATCTAAGGGGAAGTGTAAGGTTTCAGAGGAACAAGGGGCATATGTCGCTTAGGCGTCGACCGCTCATGAGGCGACACTGACACTACGCGAACCCGCGCTGGCCGCGAAGGCAGGAGCACCAGGACGATCCAGGGCGCAGGCGCGAGGGCTCCACGAGCTGGCCAATGAGGAGCGGCAGCCGGGAGAGCGCGCGTCTTCTACCGATTCCGCGACCTCCCCTGACGACGCTTAACGTCATCAAAGCGCGCCGGAAATGTGGGGTCAGCTGCGCGCCGCTGGCGCTGAAGGAAGGAAGTTTGCTGTGGAGCGACCTGGGTTCTGCGGGCTAGGCCGTGGGAGGCAGCGTCGGCTGCTTCGACACACTGAGGGCGACACGATGGGAGACGAGATGGATGCCATGATTCCCGAGCGGGAGATGAAGGTCAGAGACTAGCCGGGGCCTCCCTCCCTTCTTTAGTCCTGGTGTTGCCTTGGAACCCCTCTGCGCGGTTGCCGCAGGCTCTCCCGCCTCCTGCCTGAACTATTTACCGCGTTCGCCGCTCTCGGCAGCGCGTCTGCTGCGATAGCGCCACCGAAGGCAGTTTCCCAGCCCCTTCCTGGCCTCGTGCACGCCTCTTGAGTTACTCTAGCTACTTTCATGTGGCGGTCACAATAGTGGCAATAACTACTGTTTATTGAGCGTTTACTGTGTGCAAGGCACGGTGGTAGTCATCCCAGCAGCCCTACGAAGTAGCCGTTAACGAAGAGGAGTAAGTCGAGGCTCGGAAAGTAATTGACCTAGTCACATTTGACAGAGGGGGCTGAAAGCCAGCATGGTTTAAGACCTTTGCCCTCCCAGTACTTCCGTAAGGTGGTACGGGCTTGCCTAACGTAGAGCCAGGGAAGGTCATCCGTCCTGCAGACCCTTTAGTTGATTGGATGAGGAAGACTGTTTTTGACATCGGGAATCAGCCTGAAGTCAGGAACCTAAAGCGAGGGCCGAGTGGTCCCAATAATGGCGACGTGGGAGTCCCCAGGGATAACTCCAGGATGGTGTGGTTAAGAGTTCTCATACGTATATGTTCTGACAGAGTGAGGGGACAGCAAATGGGCTACATCTGTTTTAAGCAATGAAAGGAGGTAAGTTGCAGGAATATTTTAGTTGCCTGTGTCAACAGTAAATCATTAAAATGCGTTTAGGGGATAGTAACCCATACCATGTTTAGAAAAGTGATTTTTTTTTTTGACAGAGCCTCCCTCTGTCGCCCAGGCTAGAGTGCAGTGGCACGGATCTCAGCTTACTGCAACCTCCGCCTCCCCAGCTCAAACGATTCCCCTGCCTCAGCCTCCTGAGTAGCTGGGATTACAGGTGCCTGCCACCATGCCCGGCTAATTTTTTATATTTTTGGTAGAGACTGGGTTTCACCTTGTTGGCCAGGCTGGTCTCGAACTGCTGACCTCAAATGAATCGCCTGCCTCAGCCTCCCAAAGTGCTGGGATTAGAGGCATGAGCCACCATGCCCTGCCTAGAATAGTAATTCTTTTTTGAGAATCACCACCTGTGGTGAGCCACCTAATGGGATTGTGTCATATTCCTCAGATATGCTGGGGTAGAACCACAGACCTAGAAGATGGCAATCTCGTACTCCCTTTGGCAGCACATATAAAATTGGGATAATGCAGAGAAGACAAGCATGGCTCCTGTACGAGGATGACACACAAATTCATGAAATGCTCCATATCAGAAAAAAATCAGGGCCAGGCATGAGTGCCCATTATACTCCAGCCCGGGCAACAGGGCGAGACTCCATCTCAAAAAAGAAAAAAAAAGACGACCACGGGTGGTGGTTCACGGCTGTAATCCCAGCACTTTGGGAGGCCGAGGGGGGCAGATCAGGAGGTCAGGAGATCAAGACCATTCTGGCTATACAGTGAACCCTGTCTCTACTAAAAATACAAAAAAATAGTCGGGCGTGGTGGCTCATGCCTGTAGTCCCAGGTACTTGTAAGGCTGAGGCGGGAGAATCACTTCAACCTGGGAGGTGGAGGTTGCAGTGAGCCAAGATCGCCACTATACTGCAGCCTGGGCAACAGAGTGAGACTCTGTTTCATAAAAAGAAAGACAGCTGAGACAGTCCTTGGTTTTAGTAATGCATATTTTTGTTGTACTGAAATTGAGTCTACTGAATATACCATGTTTTAATTTATTCATTGAATTGATTTTGTTTTGATTCTTTACAATAGGATTTTCAGTTTAGAGCGCTAAAGAAGGTGAGAATCTTTGACTCCCCTGAGGAATTGCCTAAGGAACGCTCGAGTCTCCTAGCTGTGTCTAACAAATATGGTCTGGTCTTTGCTGGTGGAGCCAGTGGCTTGCAGATTTTTCCTACTAAAAATCTTCTTATTCAAAATAAACCTGGAGATGATCCCAGTAAAATAGGTAAGTTTCCTGGTTTATGTTGCAAAGTAGAGAGAGGAGTATGGTGGCATGATAATATGTTTCCTTCCCAAGAAGTCACTCTAATGTTAAAATGAATACTACTGTCAGTTTTAAGTTGACTCCCAAGAAGATTAACGGAAACCTTTCTTAGTTTTCCCTTTGGTCCTTTGTATTTCTCTTTCCATGAGTTGTTCCTCTCAGCTCAAGGGGGAAGAATTTACCATTATGCCATGCTTTTATTTTTGCTCAATTGAACTTGGGCTCTGGCTCTCTGGGTAAAGGGTTTTGTTGGAGTGGGTTTTCAGTTGGCACAACAGGACGATCCAAGCTATTGGGAACGTGTACTATTTAGAGCATTGTTGCAAAACTATTTTCAACAAGGGCAGTAGCCACAGTTAGTTTCCGCAGATTGTATGAGGAAGAATTCCTGGGATACTTAATGGATTGTTATATATCTTTAAGAAAGTTAAGATTTTATCTGTATAACTAGGTGTCAGGAGTGTATGTGTGTTTATGCAGATGCAAATATTTTTTCACATTGACCTGGATAGAGGTTGTGGCTTTATGCTTAGAACATACTGGTTTTTTTGCTTTGTATTTTTTTGTTTTCATAGTTGATAAAGTCCAAGGCTTGCTAGTTCCTATGAAATTCCCAATCCATCACCTGGCCTTGAGCTGTGATAACCTCACACTCTCTGTGTGCATGATGTCCGGTGAATATGGTTCCATTATTGCTTTTTTTGATGTTCGCACATTCTCCAATGAGGTAAGCTGCTGTTATACTGTGATATCAACATGAGAACCCTAAGCAGATTTCCTTGTGTTGAATTATAACTTGGAAGCTTCATAGATTAACCCTTGAAGTCTTTCTCTAGATTAAAATATGGGATTAAAAAAAAAAACAAACCTCTTAATTATAGAATCATAGATTTTTGAGACAGAAGGGACTTTAAGAAATTCTTTCATAACAGTATCTGCCCCGAGGTGTTATCAGGAGGCTTATGTCACTTGCCCAAATTCATAATAGATAATGTCAAAAATTCCTACACTTTGGGTCTTTGGCCTCATAATGCAATGTTCTTCCATTCCAAGCAGTTTAAGAATGATAATAGTAATAGCCTGTCAGACTCTGTACTAAGTGCTTCATATGCCTTGTCCCTTGTTCATGCCTACCACCGCCTTATGTAGTAGGTACTATTATCTTCATTTTATAGATGTAGAAACAGGCTCAGAGTTTAAGTGACTGTCCAAGGTCCCAACACTGTTAAGCAGAGCCAAGATTTTAATCTCATGTCTGCAGTTTATTGGCTATTTTGCATTTGTGCATTCCCCTACCGAGAGTCTCCCCGAGCATGTTAGAATAATTGATTGCTGGCTGAGTGCGGTGGCTGATGCCTGTAATCCCAGCACTTTGGGGGGCTAAGGCAGGCAGATCATAAGGTCAGGAGATCAAGATCATCCTGGCTAACACAGTGAAACTCTGTGTCTACTAAAAAAGAAAAGAAAAGAAACATTAGCCAGGTGTGGTGGTGGGCGCCTGTAATCCCAGCTACTAGGGGAGGCTGAGGCAGGAGAATCGCTTGAACTCGGGAAGTAGAGGTTGCATTGAGCCAGGATTGCGCCACTGCACTCCAGCCTGGGCGACAGATGGAGACCCTGTCTCAAAAGAAAGAATAATTGATTGCCATTTTCTAAGTTGTGTTGAAATTATCTATAGCAAATAGATATATAAAGCTAAATCTTTTTTTATGATTATGGAGAAAAACTAATTTGAGATAACTTGTATATTCGGTAATTTCCATCGAATATTAAATGTCTCTGCATTTACTAATTTGTTAACTTATTCCACTTTTGCATATATGTTTTAAAAGGCTAAACAGCAGAAACGCCCATTTGCCTATCATAAGCTTTTGAAAGATGCAGGAGGCATGGTGATTGATATGAAGTGGAACCCCACTGTCCCCTCCATGGTGGCAGTTTGTCTGGCTGATGGTAGTATTGCTGTCCTGCAAGTCACAGAAACAGTGAAAGTGTGTGCAACTCTTCCTTCCACGGTAGCAGTAACCTCTGGTGAGTAACAAAGGCTCTCACACTGTAACATACAATAATGGCAGTCTACTTAAGAATTGATTTCTAGAAGTAAAAGTGGATAGCTTTTTGTAGTGTGTGTGTGTGGTTTTGTTTTTATTTTTTTTAACATGACAGGAGGTTAAGAGTGGAGGGTTTTTTGTGGAACTTTGAAAAAATAACAATTAAAAAAAAGAAAACAAAAGAGTGGAGGATTTTTTGTTTTTTTTGGAGACAGTCTCTGTCACCCAGGCTGGAGTGCAGTGGCATGATCTTGGCTCACTGCAACCTTTACCTCCTGGGTTCAAGCAATTCTTGTGTCTTGGCTACCAAATAGCTGGGATTATAGGCCTGTGCCACCATACCCAGCTAATTTTTGTATTTTTTGTGGAAACAGGGTTTTACCTTGTTAGCCAGGCTGGTCTCAAACTCCTGACCTCAAGTGATTTCCCCTCCTCCGCCTCCCATTACAGGTGTGAGTTGCTGCACCCAGTTGAGAGTATTCTTTATCCCCATACTTAATGTCCTTGAAGCCAAACAGCATACATAATTTAACCCAAATATACTTGGGTCCTGGAGAAATCTTTTGGTATAGCTGGTGTAAAACTGTTTTTGAGAATAATTGTTTCTGGATCTATAATGGTGATACTCCGAAAGTCACTTGTACCTTCGTGGGGAGAGGCATTTGGAATATCAAATAGGAGCAGGAGAATGATTTATTTATTTATTTATTTATTTATTTATTTTTTTGAGACAGAGTCTGACTCTGTCACCCAGGCTGAAGTACAGTGGCATGATCTTGGCTCACTGCAGCCTCCACCTCGCAGATCTGAGTGATTCTTTTGCCTCAGCCTCCAGTTTAGCTGGCATTACAGGTGCATGCCACCTTGCTCAGCTAATTTTTGTATTTTTTAGTAAAGACATGGTTTCTCCATGTTGGCCAGGCTGGTCTTGAACTTCTGACCTCAAGTGATCATCTGCCTTGATCTCCCAAAGTGTTGGGATTACAGGCGTGAACCACCATGCCCAGCCAATGATTTCTTGATATTTGGAAACCTTCTGTGTTCTCCTTGTCTTAACTAAAGACTACAGAGTTTTCTGTATTTTGCAGTTTTCTGGGCAATAATTTATTGAAAAAGCATTTTTAGCTTTCATTTCAATAGCCCAGTGATAAATCATCTGGCTTATATCCTTAAAATAATTTTACTTTTTTCCATTTTGTCGGGTGGGGATATCCTACAATCTTCCATGGACTGACGGAGGAATGAGAAGTGTTAATTAGCTGTGTGTGATAGATCTCATTGGTTTGCTCCATTTTCTTGTTTTTATTTGGTAACATTGTCTTTGCTCAGTGTGCTGGAGCCCCAAAGGAAAGCAGCTGGCAGTGGGAAAACAGAATGGAACTGTGGTCCAGTATCTTCCTGTAAGTTCTTACCTTGAACTTTAGAATTTTTCTTAAGTCACCCACTTTTTTGGGGGTGGTTTGGGAGTATTGTTCTTGTTTTTCCTATTAAAAAGTAATGCTCATTGTAACAAATCCATCAGTGAATGAAGAGTGGAACTCTTCCCTTCTCTCCCATAGTCCCCCCTCCAGAGGCACCCAGTATGTTGTATTGACTAGGTACAATGGATGTTATATAATTTTCTGGATGTTATACAAACAATCTGTGTGTAGTTGCATTTTTTGTTTTGTTTTTTATGTAAAACGTGATCATACACTATGTACTCTTCTCCACTTCATATTTTCAGTCCATTCCATAAAAACAGAGCTTAAAGGAAAAGAATTAGTGAAAAAGCTATGACAATAATGTGAAATCACTCTGGGTTAAAGCACAGTATTTGTCTTTTAATTGAATCCATCTTAAAGATTCCGTTTCTCTTAACTGTGGGCACCAAAGAAAATGGATATTTGTGTTGTTGCATGGGCACTCTGTCATCCTCCCTGTGATTTTCTTGAGATAATATTTGCAAATATCTTTCAGTATCAATTGAGTTGCAAGGAACCCACATACGTCTATTGAGCCTGGACACGAAGGAGGGATTCACAGGTGGTGCCAAGGCCTTTGTTGTGCCTTCTTCCCGAGACTGTTCTCTGCAGGGGAGGGGTGCAGAGTAGTGAATGTAGGTCGTGTAGGTTTGAGGTTGGATCACGAGGTCAAGAGATCGAGACCATCCTGGTCAATATGGTGAAACCCCGTCTCTACTAAAAATACAAAAAATTACCTGGGCATGGTGGCAC